GAAGGTTTCATCAAAGACAAAGGAGTTCGTTCCACACTTCCCTGGGAGGACCAGGCTTCAGACACCTGTTTTTAGATAAGGTCTCTGCAAAGCTTTGGTGGAGTTGTCATGCTCCCCACCACCACCACCACCAAACTGTGCAATAATGAGAGGTGGAGAGGAAATTAGATCTTTGGATAAGGAACATGATGGTCAATCCTCAGCATGTGTCTGTCTGTGTGAGTTTGCTTTGCAAAAATCAGAAATGGAGTGTTCCGGTTAGGTCCACAGAGAAAGCCATTTTGGCCGAGCACCCATTAGTCTTGGGCAACATGATTCTCTGTTGTGTCCATCAGTTTGCCATCACTGGAGCAAACAGCCCAGACAATGGATATAAAAAGAGGAAAGGTTTGTCTGGGGATTTCAACCTGTGGTTGACTGGGTCTGGTGATTCGGGCACAGCATGGCGGGGCATGTGGCAAAGTGAAATGACTCACACCATGGCAGGGAAGTGACAAGAGACTGAGGAAGGGGCTGGGGTCCCACTGTTCCCTTGAGGACCCTTCCTCAGAGACCTGAAGACTCCTCTAGGCTCCCCCTAAAAGTTTCCCGCCACCCAGTGCCACCTTGGGGAGATTATACCACTAGACTCTGGGGCCAATTTGGACCCAGGTTGTAGCCAGGATGCTGCCCATCCTCCCAGGGGAATGCAGTGGTGTTTCACTGTAATGAAGTTAGCTCTGAAGCCTAGCAACATCCACACCAAACACAAGCTGGCTTGCTTGGAGCCCATTCTATGCCCTGGAGGCCCCCACCATCACCAAGGGGATCCAGGAGCCAGGTGAGTGAATGCCAGCGGCCACAGGTACTACCACCCCTTGCTCCTGGTTCACATGCAGGACCTAGGTCAGGCTCCCATGGCCCTGCACCTGGATAATCCCTCTGGAAGATTTTGCTCAGTTATAGCTTGAGTCGGGCATGGTGGTGCACACCTGCTATCTCCAGCATTCTGAGAGGCTGAGGCAGGAAGACTGTAGGTTTGAGCCCAGCATGAAATATAAAAAAGGATTGGTGATGGGGGGGGGAATGAAAGGAATGAAGGAAAAGTAGCCTCCTTGCTTGTCTCTCTCTTCTGGCAATGAAAGTGTCCTATTTCCCCTCACACCATTACCCCGGCTCATCTTGCCCGAGTGCCTTTCACATGCACAGGTCTGGCAGCATGTCAGGTGACTTCCTCCCTTCTGGTTCCATCCCTAGGACCACCCCAGGTCAGCCTTGTCCCTCAGCATCGCTAAGGGCGGTGCTGCCCCTGCCTGGCTGCGTCACCCCTTGAGTGGAGGGTGCGGCTTCTCTGTGTCCCCACCTGGGCTGGCAGCAGGGTCCATGCAGGAGCCAGAGCTGGGAGCAAAAGCGCTCAGCATCACGAGTGTTTGCAGCCTTTGCATCCCCACAGCTGCTTCTTTTTATATCCCTGCCGCCGGAGTCTTTGGGTATCACAGAGAGGCGAGTCACCAGGTGTGCCTCTAAGTAGCAAAATTAGGGATCATTCAATGCTTTAGTGGTGCCAATTAGCCTCCCAGTATGAGCACCAGGATTTTTTCTAATTAAGGCAGGAACAGTTTCTCAGTCTATAATAATCTCATTTAAAGTGTGTCCAAAACACTTAACACACTTTGTTTAGGAACATCAGTCCTATGAATTTTTTACACAATGTGAAAACAGATCCCCGGGACGCTGAGTCTCTGGCTGGTTATTTACTGTGTATGCACACAGTGTGGTTGCAGGACTGCGCTCTGCGTGACAGATGGGGTCGAAGACAGAGGTGCTGACTTCCACACCCATTGCTGCTACTTGGAAACGGACTTGAGCATTTCCTCCAGAAGAAGCGAAAGTCCATTCTTGACAAGGGAAGTAGGTCACGTCCTTTCCTTCGGACATACGCTGGAAGTGGGCTGCGGCAGGTGGTAGCTCCATTCCTAGTTTTTGAGCAACTTCCCTCTGCTTCCACAGTGGCTGCACTAATTCACGTGCCCGCCAGCAGTGTCTGGGGGTCCCCGGCCCCCCACAAGCTGAGCTCAGAATGCTGTAAGACGCCGGGACTCACTGGAGGCGCCCAAACTGGGACCTGGGTGTTGTGGTTTCCGCGGCTCCTCCAGCACCGCGGACAGCGCCCGGGGGCTGGTGGTAGTTGAATTGGCTGCTTTGGAACAAGATGGGTGAGTGTCTGCGAACGTGTTAATAAAAAATGGGCTTGCTCTGACGCCCAGTGAGACCCTCTGCACAAGACATTCTGAACTCATGCCTGATTCTTCTATGCTAAAGCCAGCCAGAGATAGACCTTTAGAAGACAAACAGCTCTACTCTGCATGCAATAACTTCCCCTATAAACTCGACGTAATCCAGGTTTTCATTTTATTACCCATTAGTTCCACCATTGCACAAATGCCCTTCCCGGAAGCCGCCAAGCTAGGAAAATTGTGTTCCTTCCGCAAAGGACAGAACGCCCTCATCTTGCAGGGAAACTGGGCACGTGGCCTTTGTACTTTGTCACACCTGTACCTTTGCTGACCAAAAAGACAAGGATTAGAAGGGGCTGCTTTCTTCACTCCTGGACAAGAGGAAGGATGACAAGGGGCTTGGGTGTCACCTCCCTGGCATGAGCCTTTAGAGAATTAAAGGTGTCTGGAACTCAAGGGACTGGTCACACTGTGCTTCCCTTCCCACATCGGGGCCAGAGACAGTGGATCTGTGGTCTGTGACTGTTGCTTCCTGGATACAGGGGGAGTAGCAGGAGAAGTTCCCCCCATGCTGAGCAATTAGAGAGGGCAGCGGCTCTTCTCCTGTCATTTATGAATATTCCATCAGTGAGAAAATCTGTAGCCCCAGGGAGCAACAAAATGAGCTGGCGTGGTAACCAAGCCACACTTTTTGGAATCCAGGAGAGAAGCCAGAAAGCACTGGCTTGGGCAGTCAGTGCTGATGTTGAGAGCATCTGCCCTTTGCAGCTTGGAAGACAAATAGGAAAAACTCCAAGATTACAATAAAAATCCCCTTGCAAATAACCATCGAGTGCGCTGGCTGGAAGGGCAGGAGAGGAAGAGAGAGGAGGCCCCATCTGCAGGGCTTGCAGCCGAGGACTGCCTTATTCACAGGGAGCTTTATCTCCCGATCCATATGCTCAGCTTTCTGTGCAGAGCTAATTTGCAGCCATGTGCTCTGCGCAGCCCTGAGGGAGAGGGCAGCTTTCAGGTACCTGGCCAGTCAGCCCTGCACCTCCCAGAGTGGATCCGCCACAGTGTGGCTAGGGCTCCCGGGTGCTCTGAGTGTCCTTGGTTGCAGTGTGCCTGGAAGGCTGCCACCCTTGGTCTTCTGAAGAAAGGCATCACCCCCAGACTGCGTCCTGCCCTCTTCCTGGGGCACCTTCCTGGGACATCAGGGTATATATTCCCCAAACAGAATAGGAGTGCACACTGGGGGAACTGGGTGTGCTGCAATGCACCTCACTGATTTTCACTCCCTTCACCCCTTCTTCCTTACCGCTTGCCTTCCCCTCTCCCTTCCCTGTCTGCCTTCTTTTTCCTACCACCTCTTCTTTATCATACACATGTATTTATTTATATTTTGGGTTTCTCCTAGAAGAGAAAGCACTCAATAGCTACTTTTCTCCATCTGACTTATTTTTCTTGGCCAGACGTTCTCAAGTTTCATCCTTTTCCTGCCAACGACCTGATTTCACTCTTCTTTGTAGCTGAATAATACTCTGCTGCATGCTTGCCATGGTTCCTTTACCCCTGCCTGCCAGCGCGTGTCGGGTGCTTCCAGAGCTGAGCTATTGCGAGTAGCACCACTGTAACCACGGAGTAAGAAAAGACTCCAAGCACGGCAGTGTTCACAGCCCTTGCTTCCTTCCTGTAGTTTCCCTGGCTCAGGAAGCTGGCATGGCAGCTGCATTGGGCTGTGGTGTCCCCTGCACCCAGGGAGGTAAGAGGTCCTTGCAGGCTGCCTCTCTGACCTCAGCCACTGCAGCTGTGAGGGAGTCTCAGGATGGAGGCGGAGAGTGTGGCAGTGTAGCCAGGAGCAGCCCCTGGCCTGTCACATCCCGCGTGCTGGGGTGCACTCAGGTCCCCCACACTGCTGGGAAGCTGCTCTGCAAGGCCACCAGTGCCAGGAGCCAAGACCACAGGGCCCCTGTGCTTTGGCTGCCACTTCCCTCTGTCTTGCTTGTTGCGACTGTCAAAGCCAAGCACAGCGCACCTAACTCCAGGACATTGTGAGGACAGCCAGTGACATCCGGCTTCCTGCATCCCCAACAGCCACGTTCCCCACCTCCCTCCGCTTCCCTCCCAGCTTGTTGGCAGCACCATTTTTCTGGATTTCCAGACAGAAACCACCTTTGAACCACCTGTCCTCCACCCATAGCCAGCCCATCATCAGATGTGGCGCAGAACCTGCACCCAGACCCCGGGAACCCTCACCCACCCCATTGCCCAAGCCAACCCTGCCTGGTTTGCCTGGCTGTGTGTCCACATCTGCCTCCCCAGGCTCTCTCACCAGTGAGGCACAGGGACTCTTCTGTAGCACTTCCCTCCACTCAGGACACTCCTGTGGCTCCTTGTGGTAGAAGTGGCCCACACTTTTCAGGGTGGAGGTTCTGGCTGCTTTTTCTACCTCAGTAAAGAGGAAGTCCATTGCTCACACCTCTCAGCCCCACTCATTCCCTTGCTTCTCCTCACACATGTAGGACTTCATCATTCCAGGGCCTTTGCACAAGCTGCTCCCCGGGGCTACAGTGATTCCACAGTGGATCCCTCTGTCCTCAGGGCTCTTCTCACAGCTCCCTTCTCAGCAGAAACAGTGCCCTACAAGCAGCCATACCCAATCCAGTCTGCTGCCTGTTGACCCCCTGTGGTCTCAGAGAGGGATAGAGTGTACCTTTGTGAATTGTCCATTGTCATCCACATTGGAGAGGTTCCGGCACTCAGAATGCCCAAGCTTGGCACGAGTGGAGGATTCTGGGAAGCAGGAAGTGTCTTAGCTTCAGCCTTCTACCCATGGCTGCCCAGCAGAAGGAGGGCACCAGGCCAGGTGAGAGCAGGTCGGTAACATTGGGAAGAAGCCTTTGCAAAGGGGCCATCATGAAGGTTGGGGAGGAGAGGACAAGCAGGGTGGCTGGCAGGAGGAAGCAGGTGTTTGTAGAGACAGAAAGGCTCCATTCAGCGGTGGCCTCCTCAGTGCCACCACTGGCAGTCATGGCCCTCACATTGTCCTGCTTGTCCTCTCCAAGATCATCATCCTCACGCAAAGGCAGGCAGATCAGCCGGCCCACTCCAGCCCACCAGATCTGTGGGGTTCAGGGGACACAATGCCAGCTGAAGGAGGGAAACTGAGGCGGCACCTTTGCACAGTATGAGGAGCAAGCCAAGCCCCAGGTTCCTCCAGAGAGTGTGTGGATTTGGACAGCTGGGAGAAATACCTGGTCTTCAGTTACCCAAGCTCTGGGCTAAACTTGGTGGGGACCTTGTGCTCCAATTCACTGCTCTCTAGAACCTTCCAGCCCAACCCAGCAGATGTGGGGTCACCAGGTACTGGAAGCCGATCACTAGGTTCCCTCTAGGTGCAGGGTGACCAAAATGCACTGTTGAAATTGAAACAAATTTATTATGGTAAAGAACACATTGCCTGGAACCCCCCTCAAAACCGTCCCCTTCGCTTGGGACACTCTTGTCCCATTACTCCTGCCCCTTTGGAAGCAGTTCTGGACCTTCTCTTCCCTCAGTGTCTCTAGTGGTGCGGTCTTGGCTGCCTCCGTGACTCCACTGGCTCCAAACATTGACCTTTCATAATCACGTTGACACTGGGGAAGACCTAGGAGTTGTGTGGTCCCAGATCTGGTGAGTAAGGAGGGGGAGGATGCAGCATCGTGTTTGGATGAGCTGCCTTTCCAGTGGGCAGCACTTGGCAGCAGCAGTCACTGTGGGTTTGTTTTTTTTTTTTAATCACACCTCGTAAAGAATTCATGAAAGAGGGCTCCACAGCTGCTGCAGAAAGAATACTGGGATAAGTGCACTTGAAGTGAGGGGGAGCATCCTGAATGCATCTTTTACTGGAATACATTTGTTTTAGTTTAAGCATTCACTGCTGTTTCAGTCACACCTCATACTGAGCACACTTTTAATAGCAAGGTCTCGTTTACGACCAAACACTGGCTACGGAGACTTTCTGTCAATGGGTCCTTCCTGCCTCAGAGAATATGGCAGTTTCTAAACCCCAACAACTCTTGGGAGCTCAATTCAGGGGAGGTGGGCTTTCCGGCCAGGTCCTCGTGGTGTAGGAGATGGAGAAAGAACAGCCAGGTGCAGCCCGAGCATCTACAACTCAGTGCCCGGGGCAACCATTGGCTTCATGTCTGAAAATGTCGCTTCCCACGTGAGAAAGAAGGTTTTCAAAATATTCAGAAGGTTTTTATTATCATCAACTAACTCCCATAAAACATCTCAATAACAGCGACTTCTACAGTAGCAGCCTGAAAGGTCAAACTTCATGGAAACAACCGGAGTGTTCAGCGATCTGCAGGTGTGAGGGCCTCCTGGGACTTCTGACTGTGGCTGTGGGCATCACCAGGACCAGGCTCCATGGGCCCACTCAGTATATTTTTCTTCATTTTCTCAAACCTGGCCCGATTCCACCTTAAATTAATGTTAAACAGCTTTATTAAGGCCAATTGACTCCGTCTCATGGCTCCCCGGGAGGTGGAGCTGGCAGACTCAGGCTGTGGGGGCTTCCAGTTGCTTCCCAAAGCACTTTCTGTTGTTCTGAATGCTGGGGACATCAAAGCTGAGGATTTGACTGCCCTGATGATGAAGCTGCTGTTCCCGCCTCAGAAGTGTAATTGCTCACAGTAGGACTGCTGCTAGCAGGTGTGTGCAATCCCCGTCCTTCCCTTCCGACGTGCAGGCTGCTCATTACCAGAGGTAAAAACCCCAGCATAGATGCGCTTCAGAAGCACAGAGTTTTGTAGCAGCCTCAGGGCGCCCATATTCTAGCAGCTGCCCGGCCTCTCTGCACCTGTGACACCCAATGGAGCCCTCAGGAGAACGGGGTGTGGTTCCTTTTTGAGCAGCTAAACCACGTGCAGGGTGGCAGGGGCTGCAGCCTCCCATGCTCAGTCGGGCAGTCATGAGTGAGCTGCTGAGAACCACGCTCTGCTCGGGTCCTGCTGGATGCCCAAGGGGCCACGTGGGTGGCATCAGTGTAGCTGTGCATGTGTGTGTGTGTGTGTGTGTGTGTGTGCACGCGCGCGTGCGCACAGGTGTGTGGTATCCACGAGGACCCATGAGCGGATGGATGTCCTGCAAACTTGTGTAATGCCTGTCTTGGAGGGCAGGTGGATGGACATGCGAGGGTGTGTGTGTATGTGTGTGTGTATGTATGTGTGTATGTGAGTCTATGTGGACCTATGAATGGATGGCTACATTGCCACATGAATATGTCTACATGTATGATTCTAGGTGGGTGAATGGAGGAACGTGGATGTGTGCCTGTGTTTGCGAGTGTGCATGGTGAGTAGACAAATATGAATATGCATATGTGTACACACACCCACACATGCACTAGCTTACTATCGGCAAGATCTCTACATTCTGGACCCAAGAGTGGCTCTTCCCGCACTGGCCCAGCTGGTGCTGGCTCCCTCCGCACCCCACCCTCCCCACCCCATTGAAACTGTGCCATAGGCACAGCAGAGGAAACCCACAGAGGGTGCCCTGGGGCCACTGTTTGACAATCACCCAGACCTAGAAACCTTGCAGAGGCCCCACAAGCCCTCCACGCTCCCCACCGCCTCCCCTGGCCCAGATGCACCCTGCCCAGAGCACATCTTTGAAGTCCTTCGGGGACAGTGCGTCCCCAGGGTCCTCACAGCCTTCCTAGGTAGGGCAGTTCCACACAACCCAGTGTGCCAAGCCCCCTTCCCTCCCCAGTCCCATCACTCCCACACCCCCTGGTTGTTGTGACAGCCTGGGGTGAATAGCTAGACAGGCGGGGCTGGGCTCCTGAAGGGGAATTCCTCTCCCACAGTCTCCCCTGGGACAGACGTGGGGGCAACACAGTCTGGGTCCATCTGGGGCCTCCCGGTGGGACTCCCCTCAGCTGGACCCGATGAGAGTTCTGGGGCAGAGACAGGGCTGAACTGGCTCCACCCTCCACGGGCTGCAGGTAAACCCCTGTGGGGTCCCAGACACCAATGGGACACCAGTGACTGTGCACACAAATGCCACCTGGCCACGACTCTGGGGGGCATGTTGGGTAAATGGGGGTACAGGGGCGAAACAGGCAAGGGCGGCAGGCTAGGAGGAAGGTGAAGCTCTCAGGTAGGGGAAGAGGGGACCAGAAGACACAGGAGCAGGGCGGGGACCATCTGTGACACTTTGGGGATCACCTTGCCCTGATCACAGAGAGCACGGGGACTTGGGAAGAAGTGACAGCCAGCCGGGGCTGTGGGGTGGACAGGAGGACGAACTCCCTCTGCCATCGCATGCTTCAGGCCCCTGCAGTCTGGAGCCCAGCAGCACTCAAGGCAGAAGCAGCCCTCGCTCTTCCAATGGCCCCATGCCCAGGACAGGGGCCCCAAGACTCAGAATCACTTGTGCATGAAGCTGGACTTCTTCCTAAGGAATCTGGGGGACTGGAGGAAGCTACACATGCAGGGATCCAAGCCCATTTTCCTTTGCCAAGGACAGTGCAGAAAAGCAATGTGGGGGAAGGTGGAGTCCAGAGCAGATTCCCCTGCCCCCTGCTGGCCACACACCTCTGGCCACCACCTCGGCCCCCTTCCTAGTGCCCACTTCCTGCACTACACCACCACCAGGCACCTGGAATCTGCAGGCATCTCTGTGTGAAGAATCTGACACACCGGCACTTCCTGCCTCACACTGGGCCTCTGATGCAGGAGTGTCATCTCCGGGGTCCTGATCTCATGTATCACAATATTCTGCTCTCACCTCCTTCTTGCTGTTGTCACCAAAGTCTTTGGACCCCTGCCATTGTTTCACACCCATCCCTGCCACATCACTGTGGATGGCCCAGAAGCTTCCACCAGCAGTCAAGTCTGGACACAGAAGTGCCACTCACCTGCTTCCTGCTCCCTGTTCTTGGGGGATGGTATCTGGAAGCCAGTAGGCCCCTTCTTTGAGCATGCTGTGTGCAAAACTATAAAACAGGCTGGCTAGCTCAAGGGCAATTCTTCGCCATTCCAGGCACCACCATGGGGGACCCATAGCACTGCCCCAAATGCGGACCTCTGAGCTGAGGGAGGGAGTTGGGTGTGGCAGGGACTGTGGCCTAGGAACTGGCCATGGTGGGACATGCCCCACGGCTGGAGGGAGAAGGCTCTTCTCACCAGGGCCCCGAATATCTGATGAAGGTTTTGTCCCGATGACTTAACTTCTTGCTCAGTTGCTGTGTATGTGTATTTACCATGCTGGCAAGTGTAACGATCGTTCTGGAGCCGTCTCTCTTCCTTGGAGAGACATGCACTCCCTCTCATGATGGAAATCGATGAGAAGGTTCAAATTGGTGCAAATAAATCCACACCCCTGGGTGCTGCCCCGCCTTAGCGGGCCTATCTCTCTGCTGGTTCACTGAGCAGAGACAGGATGTGGGCCACCGCAGCCCCACTCCTGGGCCCCCAGGGCCTCCCTTTACCCAATCCTGCCTCCCTGGCAGGCCAGGCAGACAGTTACCGTTCTAGAACTTGAACATGCAATGGCTCCAACTCTCTCCTCACCATTTAAATGTTCATTTTTCTGGGATAAATAATCTGAGTTTTTACAATGGGTCCTCAGAGGTTCCATTGTGGTCTATGTGCCTGTGCTTTAAATCAATACCCAATAACCAATTCGGGCGCAGTGAAGCCTAGCATCCCAGCGAATGGGGCATGTTTCGGGCTGCAGGGCCGCCTGTCCCTGTGCCTGGGACACTAAGAACCCGAACTGTGGCAGTCTACTCCCCAAGTTCAGTGACACACTGGGACCAAAGTGAACATTAGAGCTCCTTACTCTTTTCATCTGTAGTGCTGCAGATCCCATTTCCTGCCATTTTGCTTCATTCACACCTGAAAGAAAGTCGTATCTGTATAAGGATGGGGAAACCCCTAAGTTGTTGCTTTTAAATTTCTTTCTTGACAAAGTAAAGGAAAAAAAAACCACATAATGGCATCAAGGGGAAAAGGCTCAACTTGTTAAACCAAGTGAAATCTCAGTGGCCTGATGTGGACAGAATTGCTGACTCCTTCCCTGGAGTGCCCTGGCCACCCCATGCCTCAGGATACAAGTGGAATACAGGGTCTTTATCAAAGAAACAGAGTTAAAGTGGGGCCTTTGGGGTGTTCTGTAATCCAGCTCACCTGGAGCTCTTATAAGAGGGGTGATTTCAGACACAGACTCAGAGGGGAGCTGATCTGAAGACAGAAAGTGACATTGCCTATAAGCCACAGAGTGGGGCCCCTGGGAGGGACCAGCCCTGGGACACCTGCATCTGTGACTTCCAGCCTGAGGAAGGGCACCCTGTCACAGCAGCATGGCGGCCAACACCCACAGAGCCAGGTGAGTGCTGAGCCCTGGCATTTTCCCACGGTGACAATGGCACAGTCGTCCGTATTCATCAGCGTCCACAGGTTGCCACATGTACACCATCTTCTTGACTCCTCACCGGAAGGGAGGAGGTGTCACTATTGCCCCCAGCTCTGCAGGTGTGAACACTCATCCAAGGGTTGCTGATTGACTGGTCCAAAGTGACTGGGTTGGTAGCAGGCTGTCTAATCCAGCCTGTGTGCTCTTGACCATGAAGCCATCTGATATTGCTCTGGAACTCTGAGTCTTATTCTAAAGTGAAACTGTGTGAGCAGAGACCCTGGCTTCATTAAGCTACCTTTAACCTCAACATTTATCTCTTTCTCTATCTGTCCTTCCTACACCTCTTCTGGCAACAGCCAATGCAAGCAGGCAGGAGACAGACACCTCCAGATGCATTTGTCCTCACCACCCCATGGCCGGCCTCCTTTCAGCAGGAGTAATCAGGCAGGGAAGGCGCCCCTTGATCACTGGAGAGTGGAGAGTCAGGATGCAAGCACAGGTGTGGGGCCCACGAGGAGCAGGCCTCTAAGAAGCAGGGACTCGGGGCTTCACAAATGCAATGGGCAATGGCCTGAAGCTCAGGCTGGGATCACAAGTTCAAGGCCATCCTGAGCTACACAGTGACCCTGTCCCCCCAAACCAAAGACAAAGTTCTAGGTCCAGACATCAAACCTCAGAGACAGAAACCTGAGACAGGGGTTGCATACCGGGCCAGGACAGGTGTCCCTGGCCTAGGACAGTGTGACTGGATTGTGGCAGAGCTTCCTGCCTGTGTGGACTAGGCACTGTAGCTCTTTGCTGCATGGCGGGAGGAGAACTAGGGGCCCACTGGGCACCAAGTAATAGGAGGGGCCCCAAACACATTCCTGTCACTGCCCTACATGGGCATAGAGACAGCATTGCTCTGCCTTCTGCTGTGGAAGTCATGGGAGGAGGTCTGGGAAGTGGGCAGCCCATGGGCTCCAATGCCACTCTGCGAAGGCCTCGTGAAGGCTGACATTCATGTCCTGTGCATTTCATTCTGTGCTGTGCTGTAGCTGAGGGTCACCAACAGAGTTCTCCACTCACCAAGCTTCTGTGG